GAACTCCGGCCGTGAAAGCCTTCGACGACGTAGAGCTCTGTGTGTTTGTGTCATTTAATAATTTCATTTTCCTACCACATTTTGAGTCCACCTTCCCTCCAAGGCAGGGCCGGCCCCAGCTTATTTTGCACCCTAGGCGAGGATCCCTTCTGGCGCCCCCCCCCCCCGTGTGCCCACCATTTTTCAAAAATAAATGCATTTTAGGAAGAATGAAAAACACAACTAATCAAGAAACTCCCAGAGTACGGGGCCGGGTGCAGTTTGGCGCCCCTGAGGGCCAGCCCGCTCTAGGCGATCACCTAGTTCGCCTAGTGAGTGAGCCGGCCCTGCTTCAAGGAGCTCAGGGGACCATCCTTTGGGTTGCCAGCTCCAGGTTGGGAAATATCTGGAGATTTGGGGGGTAGAGCCTGAGGAGGGCGGGGTTTGGGGCGGGACTTCGGTGCCACAGAATCCACCTTCCACGGTGCTCATTGTCTCCAGGGGAACTGAACTTTGTTGCCTGGAGATCAGCTATAATAGTGGGAGATCTCCAGCCGGCACCTGGAGGCTGGTAACCCTAGCCATACTGGATTCTCTGCTCTTTCTTACCCTCACGATCCTGTAACATCGGTTCGACTTAGGGTTGCCAACTGGAGATTTGGGGCGGCGCCTGAAGAAGGCAGGATTTGGGGACAGAAGGGACATCCAGGGGTCAATCTCTTTAGGACTGCCGGTTCCAGGTTGGGAAATACTTCGAGATTTGGGGGGGGGTAGGGCTTGTTGCATGTGCCCGCCCCCTGGGCTCTTTACTGCCGGAGCTCCGCTCCTGTGCGCTCCTGCAGGAAATGACCCCTGCCCATCACTCTCCTCTTCACCCGCTCCATTCCGTCCACATCCTTTTTGAAGTGAGGCCTCCGGAACAGCACCCAGTTGTAATTCCGGGAGATCTCCAGGCCCTCCCTGCAGGTCGGCTACCTTAGTTGGGCTGCCTCGGTCGGCTTGGTGGTTGAGCAAGAATCTGAGCCCGGATCAACTTCCGGTCATTCTCTCCACCACGCTGAGTGGCTCCGGCACAGCCAGCTCTTCTGTGAGAATGAATGCCGGGCAGGGTTGCCAATTCCAGGTTGGGACATTCCCGGAGGGTTGGGGGGTATGGCCTGGTGAGGGCAGGGTTTGGGGAGAGGAGGTACCCCAGTGGGCTCCAGAGCACCCATTTTCCCCCAGGGGAGCTGATCTCAGTAGTTTGGAGATCCGTTGTCATTCCAGGGTATTTCCAGGTCCTACCTGGAGGCTGGGAGCTGCAGTGGCTCAAGTGGTTAAGACGCTGAACTGCAGGCTGTGGAAGGTCTGTAGTTCAGCAGTTCAAGACCTGGGTGCCGCAAGACGGAGTGAGCTCCCGTCTCTAGTTCCAGCTCCTGCCAACCTAGCAGTTCGAAAGCAAGAAACTGCAAGTAGATAAATAGGTACCACTTCGGTGGGAAGGAAACAGCGTTCCGTGCGCCTTGGTGTTTAGTCATGCCGGCCACATGACCACGGAAACGTCTTCGGACAGCGCTGGCTCTTCGGCTTTGAAACGGAGATGAGCACCGCAACCCTAGAGTCGGACACGACTGGCTTTCGAGCAAGGGAACCTTTTACCTTTACCTTTTACCTGGAGGCTGGCAACCCTAAGTCATGGCTGGGCACATTTAACAGCGCTTCGTGCGCCTTGGCGTTTAGTCATGCCGGCCACATGACCCCGGAAACGTCTTTGGACAGCGCTGGCTCTTCGGCTTTGAAACGGAGATGAGCACCGCAACCCTAGAGTCGGACTCGACTGGCTTTCGAGCAAGGGAACCTTTACCTTTTACCTGGAGGCTGGCAACCCTAAGTCATGGCTGGGCACATTAATGCTGTCCTGTACAGCACCCAGCACTTAGGCATGTACATTTCTTTTTATATCTCCTGAGTCCCAGGGTTTTGTAGTGGTTAGAGTATCGCACTGTGACCAGGGAAGCTTGAGTTCAAATCCCCACTCCACCACAAAGCTCACTGGGTTACCTTGGGCCAATCTTTCTCTCTCAGCTGAAATCTACCTCATAGGGTTTTTGTGAGGAGAAACTGGGGGATCGGGTTGCTAGCCAGTGGCTGAAAGGGTGGAGACGTCACGTGGGAGGGGGGGTATTGCAGTGATGCTATGACACCATTTCTGGGGCAGACCCAGAAATAACCTCACGCCGCTCTAGGATTCAGTGGAAATGCTACGGTTTTACCATAGAGTCCCCGCTGAATCCTAGAGCAGCGTGGCGTCACTTCTCCTTTTGCCCCGGAAACGACATCACAGCATCGACGTGACGACGCTTTTTTCTGCATTTGGCCCCTACCAGCCTACCGAGCGGGAGCAGGAGTTGGGGTTTCTGGGTGGAGCTCTCCCACTACAGCAGGTGACCTTGCAACTCTGGCTAGGGGCTTCAAGGGAGGGAAGTAGATTGGGCCTCTCTGGACCTCTGAGGAGGCCTGGGAAGACCAGGAATAAAAATCAAAGACGTTTCCTTGTATTTTGGCCATCTGTCCCAGTTCTCCTCGCCTCGCTGTTGGTTTTATCGATTTGTTTGCTTTGTAGGGTATGAATATGCAATGTGTACAGGATTTTGATTTACGGCGTACAATATTTATGCATCTAATTTACATTTAATGCAGAGTTATTAATACACATTTAACATTGAAAGCTGGAAGAGTTATTTCTATCGAGTCTCTCCCCCCCCCCGCACCACCGTTCTTCCAAGAGATCGGGGCCTTTACCGAGGGCTGCCGTTTCTGGCACCAGAAATTCCTGGAGATTTGGGTGTGCAGCCATGGAAATTCCCAGTCTGGGAAAGGGAGGGAGCTTAATGGGCTATGAGGCCGTTGAGGCCGCCCTCCAAAGCTGCCATTTCGTCCAGGGGAACTGACCTCTGTAATCCTCAGGTCCCACCTCGCAGTTGGTGACCCTAAATTTGGTAACCCTCTGTGCACGCGCCTCTTCCCCTCCACTCATTTCGTCATCACAACAACCCTCTGAGGTAGGTTATATTGAGAACGAAGGAGTCACGCAGGGGGGCACCCTGTGAGCTTCATGGTGGAGCGGGGATTCGAACCTGGCTCGCCTGAAAATGGATGTGAGGAAACAGAACGTGAGGCCAAAATCAAGAACTGTGGGTTTGAGTCATGCAAAGAGAGAAGCAGTTTGGCGTAGCGGTTTAAGAGCGGCGGACTCTGAGCTGGGAGAACCGGGTTTTCCAGCTGCTGGATGACCTTGGGTCAGTCAAAGTTCTCTCTGAGCTGTTCTCTCAAGGGCTCTGTCAGCCCCGCCTACCTCCCAGGGTGTCTGATGTGGGGAGAGGAAGGGAAGGCGATTGTCAGCCACTTTGAGACTCCGAATGAAGGGCGGGGTATACATCCAATCTCTTCTTCAAAATCGAAACCAGGGATGTGAGGGTCCAGACGGCAGGGCTGAGAAATCTGAAATCGTCTCCCCACCCCTAAAAGATAGTGGGTTATATCTTAGGAGGTCTGCTTAGGGACAGAGTGGGACTCTCCTGCCTCCCCCTCCCATGATGGCTCGCCGAAATCCCCCCCACTTGTCTTCCTGGGGTTCAGTTAGGGTTGACAACCTCCATGTGGTCCCTGGAGATCTGCTATTACAGTCGATCTCCAGATAGTACTTTAATACGTTCGATTTATTTATCGCTCTTTCCCACACACCTGCGGACTCAGAGCGATTTACAGTTACTCTCTGACAATTGGACTAACAATATTCGTGGGGGATAGGGAAGACAACATACAGCATTTTTAATTACACACACATTGCTGCTAGCCGGGGCTTCATCTGCGGGCTGGATCAGTCGTGTTCCGACGGCATGTATTCTTGTCGGCTGGCTGATGACGTCAAGGCTTCTTGATGCCGCGCTGCCACACTGCCACCACCTGGCCGACTCGCTCCACTGCAGGGAAGCTGAAACAGCTCTTTCATCTTTCGATCTTGCCGCGCCTCAGAAGCCACACTCGGCAGCTAACACCTTCCCAAAGGGAGGGGGGTGCCCACCCCCTTACGGGTGGTCCCCAGTTTATCTACTTGCCGAAGCTTTCGAATCGCTGGGTAGACGATGAGCTAGGACAAGGCTTGGTTGCTCACACCAGCACGGGGCTAGAACTGCCAAAGCTTGGCAGTTCAAATGTTATAGTTAAGCAGGGGGGAAATCCCCTGCGCCACCGCTCCCTGATCACCGCTGACCGAGATCAGTTCCCCTGGAGAAAATGGCTGCTTTGGATGGTGGACTCTATATGGCCTTGTACCCTGCTGAGGTTTCTCCCCTCCCCACACCATGCCTTTCTCTCGCCTCCAAAATCCCCAGGTATTTCCCAACCCAAAGCTGGCAACTTCAGGCTCAGTTGGACCCTCACGAACTGCATAGGGGGCACAGCACGGAGTTTGTAAAGAGGCCATAATCCACCTTCCTTCTCCGACACAGATTAACAGAGTGGCAGGGTGTGCGTGAATTTTTCGGTTAGTTTTTCGTTGCCTTTCGAAACGCCGTTTTCTTCGGTTTTGAAACAATCCCCCAGCAAGGGCGGCAAAATGCCGGAGACAAGGAAAAAAACACAATCTTTTCTCTTTCCCTTCTCCTGGGCAGGTATCAGTTGCGCAAAATTGTGGTGGACCCCGGAGCGGGGCCCGGGAAGAACCACACCGTGGTGTTTCTGGGGTCCGACACTGGCACCGTCCTCAAGTTTCTGATCCAGGCGAACATCAGCACCAGCCTGGCGACAGTGCGGGCCAGCATCCAGAGCGTGTTTCTAGAGGAGTTTGAGACGTATCCCAGCGAGAAGTAAGTTGCAGTCGACAGTCCATCTGGCTATGGGGCGCTCACTGGAATTGGAACAAACAACTTGAAGAGTAGCCAACTCCAGGAGATTTGGGGGGTGAAGCCTGGGGAGGGGAGGGGGCCCGGATAGGGCTGTGATGCCATACAGTCAAACATCCAAAGCTGCCATTTGCTGCATGGGAACTCATCTCTGTAGTCTAGAGATCAGTTGGCATTCTAAGATCAGTTGGCAACCATACAAACAAGTGATACAGGCCTTTCCCGCCTTCTCATTTGGTGTAGTGGTCAAGTGCGCGGACTCTAATCTGGGAGAACCGGGTTTGATTCCCCCCTCCTCCACTTGCGCCTGCTGGATGACCTTGGGCAAGCCGTAGTTCTGATAAGAGCTGTCCTTGAGAAAGAGCAGTTTCTGTCAGAGCTCTCTCAGCCCTACCCACCTCACAGGGGTGTCTGTTGTGGGGAGGGGAAGGGAAAGGAGTTTGTAAGCCGCTCTGAGACACCTTTGGGTAGTGAAGGGCGGGGTATAAATCCAATCTCTTCTTCTTTTTCTTCATTTTCCTGACTTGTACGTTCCTGTTTCTTTTTTTGGAGGGGGAGGAGGTCTGTTCCTTATGTCTTTTGCTCCCTCTAGTGGTCAATTTTCTATTACATCTGTTTATGTCTGGCATATCAACCTGCAGAATTAAACTGGACCTTTTCATGCCGGACATAAACAGGTGTAATAGCGAATCAACCACTAGAGGAAGCAAAACACATGCAGAACAAGGGGAAAACCCAGAAGAAACAGAAACTTACAAGTGAGGAAAATGTCGTTGTTGTTGGTCAGTCGCACAGTCGAGTCCAACTCTTCGCGACCCCATGGACCACACCACATCAGGCCCTCCTGCTCAGCTTCATGTTCGTTGCATCTGTGACACTGTCTAACCATCTCATCCTTTGCCATCCCCGTCTTCTTTGACCTTCAGTCTTTCCCAGCATCAGGGTCTTCTCCTGTGAGTGCTCCCTTCTCATTGGGTGGCCAAAGTCTTTGAGCTTCAGTTTCATTATCTGGCCTTCCAGGGAACAGTCAGGGTTGATTTCTTGTTGGAGAAGACTCTCGAGAGTCCCTTGGACTGCAAGGAGTGAGGAAAATTAGAAGGCGGGAAAAGCCTCATGCTGGGTTTTTGCTCCAGCTTGACTTCTTAAATGCGTTGGCTTTCCCCCTCCCTTACACATAGTGTAATTTTTCTTTCCTCCCCCTTCCCCCCGCCCACAAGCTTTTCCTGTGTTTTTTTCAGACTACTGTAAAAGTGGTCCCCAAAAATGGGGAAAACTGAATTTGCAAAATGGGAGTGTGACCATGGTACCGTGCGTAAGGGAGAGGGAAACCTGATGCAGTTTGAATGCTCGAGCCAAAACCTAGTGTGGGAAAGCCCCTAGTCGAGGAACGAACAATTGATAGTCTGTCAGAGAAGTATCTTGGCTTTGTAAGCAGCCCCACCAAATTGTTATTAGTGTGTGGCTGTAAATAAATCCTCCCATTTTCACATTTAAAAAAAAAGAAAATTGTTTCCACACGTTAACAGTGTGCTAAGGGCCATATTGTATCAGTCCACAGTGGCCAGTGAGATACCTTGGCAAGGCCACATGCTGGGCAAAGTCCTGGCGTCTCCCGCCCCCAGGTACACTTCCCCTGTACATGGAGGTTCCATTTGGCCACAAAAAAACAACCACAGACTGGGGAAATGTGTATAAATCAACCAGACTATGTACCCATGGTGCCCATGGATGCCATAGTGTTCACTGAAACCTTTCCTGATGCCCCCTAAATGTTTTTAGAAAGGGGGTGGGTCGAACAGAGCCATTGGATATCTGATCAATATTGCCAGACGAGTGTTTCTTAGCTAGTTTCTTACCTAGTGTGTGCAATAAAATGTTTTTCAACAATACGTTTGTTTTAAAAAGCATCCTGTTAAACAGAGCGTCGACCTGCAATGCTGAAGAGCTACAGTTAGAGTTATGTATAGCTTCCCTGACATTTTGATTCCCCACTCCCCTATGTGCAGCTGCTGGTGTGACCTTGGGTCAGTCACAAGTTCTCTCAGAGCTGTTCTTGAAAGAGCAGTCCCCGAAAGAGCTCTCCCAGCCCCGCCTACCTCACAAGGTGTCTGTTGTGGGGAGGGGAAGGGATTCGTAAGCCACTCTGAGACTCCAAGTGAAGGGTGGGGTATAAATCCAATCTCTTCTTCTTCTTCTTCTTCTTTGTGATTGGTTCCGCCTCCTGCAGCTTCATTTGATTATTGGCTCTGCCTCCTTTGGCAGCCATTTTGTGATTGTACCCACCACCCTGTGTCAGAATCCCAAAGGTGCCAGCTAGCCCAAAGAGGCTGAGGACCCCCCTGGCATACAGGATGCAAACAGGCTGGGCACTGGGAGAATTTAGGGAAGTATAAACCAATAGAATGGAGATAACCTGCTTGCCTCGAATGGTTCCCTCTCTAAATCCTCTGCTTTGTCTTTTCCTTCAGGTGTGGCAAGGACAATGTGGACGAGAGGAAGCTCCTAGGGATGGAGCTCGATAAAGCCACGGGATCATTGCTGCTGGCGTTCCCGCCTTGCGTGGTGCGGGCCCCCGTGGCAAGATGTCACCAGCATTCGGGCTGCATGAAGTGAGTCCCTCGTTTCTGTCTCCCTGAGTTCGGCACCGAGAACAGCCTTGGAGAGGTGGAGTTTGTCTCTTTCCGTGGTGGGGGAATATCCAAACTCAGGACGTGATCCGTGCTTAATAGGGTACAAAGGTTGCAGCAATTCCCCAGCATCTTAGCTTCAGAGATAGGCTGCCTCTGTGTGGGGAGGCTCTCTTTAGCTCCCACTGATCCTCTGTTAATTTACCCTGGTTCCTGGAGGGGGGGGAAACACGTAATCTGCTCTGTGCTTTCAAAGCGGGTTACTAGTGTGCAGAGGTCATTTCGTAGAAAAAGAGGTTCAGGAACTCATTAGAGTAACTCATTAGCGGAACTTATTTGCATATGCCACACCCCCTGACCTCACCAGAAGTGTGTCAGAAGGCAACACCCACCGCTCAGGCTCCACTGGACTGTTTGGGATTGCTAGCTATTGAAGGGGGGACATTCAGATCTGTCCTCGCAGAGGAGGGAGAGCATGTACCTGAATAAAACATGGTCTTAAAGGTGCCACTGGACTGTTTTGGACCGGAGGGCCGGGGGGGTTGAAAACCTCCAAAGAAGGAGAGCCCAACACTTATAGTTGACTGTTGTAAATCTTTATGGTTTATGGTTCTGTATTGAACATTATACAAGTACCAATAATAATAATAATAATAATAATAATAATAATAATAATAATAATAATAATAATAATAAAGAAAGGATAATAAAGAAAGGATAATGCCTTGGGAAAAACCACCAATGGCATCTACACCCGTGGATGTTTTGTTCTATGAGGCTGACTGAGTTTTTGGGGGGAGAGAGAGGTGTGTTTGTGTACATGTGGCTCAAGCAAATTCCCATCGAAGGCTGCCGGCGATCCCTCCGCAAACCGATATTAAGATAGTTTGTCATCCGCCACGGGGGCTGCCCCCACCACCACTGCTGCCCTGACAACATCTCCTTGCCTAATTGCCACAGACAGAGAGTCAATTATTCACAACTTCTCGGCTTAATACCTGCCCTCCCCCCAGGAGGGATTGGCAGCAAAATTTAAAATGCAACTGAAACACAGAGCGAGGTTTTCACAGAACAAAAGGTCGCTGCCCGAAGGGTCGGGAGATGGTAATGACCAATGGATCATCAGAACGAGATGCGGAAAGCAGAGAGTGTTGATTTTCAATCTCTCCCACCGGAGTGCTTTTACAGAAACTTGCTTGCGGGAGGGTAAAGGATTGGGGGGGGGTATCCGCGCTGAATATCTGTGCCATTCAGCGAGAGTAGAACTGCTCAGAGAAAACCCGGCTGGCCACGCCCATCGGCCTGCACAAAAATCCTCTTTCTCCTCTATCACCTTGTTCCAATTCCCTGGAGAAAATGCAAGTGACTTCAAATTTCCTGCTTTAATTTCAGCTTCAAGTTTGGAACCGTGGGTGGCGCAGGACTTGAAGTCTTAAGGGGGGGGGGAGAATAGGGTTTGGCCAGACCGGAAGCCTCCAGGCTAGGGTTGCCAGGTCCTCCCTGGCCACTGGCAGTGGATGGGGGTGTGGGGTTGCCAGTTGCAGGTTGGGAACTCCTTGTCACGGGCTGGGGAGTCCAGAAGAGGCCAAGGTCAGGATCCAAGAAGAGACTGCAAAGTCCAAAAGGCCAAGCCGGGGTCAGGAGCCAGGAACACAGAGCCAAGTCCAAACGTAGTCATGATTGAGATGTGATTGAGGTTTATAAGATGATGCATGGGAAAGAG